TTTACCTTTTGCAAGATACTTCATTAATTTTGAAATATTAAATGTAATTATTTGATCATTGAAGTGCATAGTTAATTCCTATTTCTGCACATCTATCATTACTCTTCCTGTAGCTATGAAAGATATCCAAAAAATTATAGGTATCTCCTTATCTTCCTCCATATCTAGCACAATGAAATCATTAAGAAAGATAAATTGATCCACTTTTACTATAACATCTTCTATAACTCCTTTAGGATATATTATTGAACGATCTGCTAACTGCAGAGTTACAATAGTAGAGGATATTTCTCTTAATTTCAATCTTTTAAATATTGATAATAACATAAGGTTAATGCTTGCACCTAAATAACATAAAGCTTTCCCATAAAATCTCTTATTGCACATGGAATTGTGAAGTAACTAAGATCTTTAAATTTTTCAGGAAGCTTTTTTCTGAATTATAGCACTGCATTCCTCACTAAGTGCAACAATTTTGTTATCTTTGAACTTTCATTTCCTGTTAAGAATTTCCTTCATAAACTTCACATAGCTTGACATTTGTTCTAAAGCTTCAACAAATGAAATATTAATTGTAAGCTTCTTAAGGATTTCCATAAATTTTGAAAATTATTTATCCAACTTTTGTTGACGATGTATCTGAGGACATGGAGGTGGTGGTTTTTCCAAGTCAATTTTAAGTGGAGAAATAGGTCTCTCTAAACCTTTCAGAGTGTCCTCTTCAGGCTCTTCATTTTATTCTCTCTCTACTTCAATCTCTTTTTGAACTCTACCTTCTAACTCTCTTTCGCTTTTAAGTTAAACAAATTTTATTTCTTTTTATTCTGGTCTTTTGGATTTACTTCTGTATTACTAGGAAGTGTTTCTTGGGATATATTACTTAATGAATTTGTTATTTGTGCCAATTGATTCTTGATATTTCTATTAGTAGCTCCTTGACTTTGTAACTGATTTCTCATTTGTAACACCACTTCTTCTATAGACAATTTTTTCTCCTTGAAATGTGGATTACTGTTAAAACTTGGAGGATAAGCAGGTCTATAATTATTATTACCTTAGTTGTTCCAATTTCCTAATGGGTTTACTTAGTTGTTCCCCCATTGCTGATTATTACCACTCGAAGTATTGTTTTAGTTAAAGTTATGATGGTTCTTCAAACTTGAGTTATAATAGTTTGAATATGGGTTATTCTACTTGTTGTTTATGATATTCAAAGTTTCTAACAATGCTTGAGAACAATGCTTGAGAATCTACCACAATGCTTGAGAATCTACCATTTGACCTATTGAATTCTCTTCAATCATTACAATTGGTTGAGAAAATTCATTCCAAATTAGTCAAAATTCTTTGAAATTGTAGTAACTTGATTTGTTAATATTGTAAACGCATCATATTCAAAGATATTGGTTTCTTTCTTAGGATTTACCCTCTTAGAAAGCTATTGAAAATTATTATTAGTCATCTCTTCAATTAAAGCATAATCATATAATCATCATGAAATGAATCATCATGAAATGGTTTTGACATCAATGAACCATCAGCAACGGTAACGATAATTGATCCAAGAGATCAAGCTAATCCATTGTAAAAGGTTTGAATTATTAACTAATTAGGTATAGATATGACATGGCGTGGACAAATGCCAAGCTATGTGAAGTAGAATGTTTATTAACCAATCTGATATGCCAAGCTATATGAATTATTAACCCCCATGTGGACAATTTCTCAGTAGTTCTTTAAATCGTTCTCATGCTTCATAAATAGATTCCCCTTCAAAATGATAAAAAGATGCAATATCATTTCTAAACTTCATAGTTTTTTATGGTGGAAAATATTTAGTAATGAATTTCTGCCCTAAATCACCCCAAGTTCTGATAGATCCATGTGCTAACAAATGTAACCATATCTTAGCATTATCCCTTAGTGAGAAAGAAAAAAGTTTAAGTCATATAACATCATCTGATACACCATCATATTTAAATATAACACAAAATTCTAGAAAATTAGCAAAATGTAAATTTAGATCTTCAGTTGGTTCTCCCTCAAACTGATTATTTGATATCATTTGGATAATAGCAGATTTAAGTTCAAACAAGTTAGCCACTACAATAGGTTTTTTAATACTACAATGAATTTCATCCGCCGTAAGGTTTGCAAAAGCTCTTAAAGCTCTAAACTCTTGATTAATTTCAACATTTGACTTATTTTGGTTTACCATTTCTTGAAATTTTTGTTTTATGTATTTTTGATTTTTTTTAATTTTTCTAATGGTTCTTTATAATTTAGAACGTAGGCACTAGTCCTTTAGATCCTAAAGTACACATACATTACTATAAAATAACATAAAATAAAATCACACAAATAAGAACTTTTATAAAAACAACACTATGATATTCCTATAATAAATCTAAAAGTTTAAATAAGACTTTCTAATAATAGAATTTTACTTTCTAAAAAGTTATTCAAAAATTTTATTTTTATTCCCCGGCAATGGCACCAAAAATTTAATCCTGATTTTATATGACAATATGATGTATGCAGTTATATTCCTAATTCTTCCTTATAATTCTTACTTTGTAACGGTGTCAAAAACTTGATCACCAGCAACAACTAGGCAAAAGCTTGACTTCGAAGCAAATTAGAATGTAATTATTATATTTAATTATGGGATACTACGCAAATATACATATCATTATCAAGTAATATAAATCTTTTTTATTAAGCCTCGAATATCGAACCTACATGGAAAAAAAATACAATATGCAATTAAAATCAGAAGAAATTATATAACAAATTCTACTTTGCAAAATATTCTTACTCAAACAATATATGTTATAATAGGAATGAAAGTTCGATCCTTTTTTTGTAATTTTTGATAATTGAAAGTAAAGTAAGCAACTAATCTAAACTTAATTAGATATTTGTAAGATGAAGGAAATATAAATAAACTATATTTTTCCGTATCATAAATCAGTAACAAATATAAAAGTTATGTTGTGGAAGCATTCAAATTGTGTTGTGCCAAATAGGAGCAATAATATTCCTTACCCTTACGAGAGACGTTATAAAGAACATTGGCTAATTTATGGTTTGAAAAGTCTTGAAGACGGGTTAGGTAGGGAAGATACTAGCTTTCACTCTAGAGTTCACTCTTCTCCCTCCACATGGGGGCTGACATATCGTATCAAAACCTAACACTATAAATTAAATTAGGAGCTTTAGCCTGTCACTATAAAGTCCTCTAACTCTACACCCTTCAAAGTTTATTTCCCTATTTATTGACACTAAATCATATGAATTACATTCTTATCCAAACAATCTCATGTGATTTTTACTATTAGTTGACTGAGGTAATACCATCTTAGATCTTACATGTTCTCACAACAGATATTAACATCTTAATTGGCCAAATCAAGAAGTAAATGAAGTACAAGGTTTAAAATCATCACAACTTATTCCAACATTAAAGATTAATAATTCACACAACTTCCATCCAATACTTAATCACTTATCATTTTTATGGAAAAAGATAAAAAATACTCAGAAATTATGGAGAAAACACAACCACACTTAATTTTGAAAGTATAAATCATGCAAACAAGCTTGAAGTTTAAATTAAAATCAAATGTAGTCACAAGGATAAAAATTTATCTCAACGAAAAACCTTGAAGTTCCTTTGAATATCTTCTCTTCCTTTCTCTTACAATACTCTCTACTCACACACTAAAACTCTCTTCTCCCTAATAAAATATTCTAATTAATCTATGAGAGAGGCGTCAGTGGCGGGATTATGGAGGACGTGTAGGAGTCTCTCTAGTGCTCTGGGAGGAAGGCTGGAAGAAATCTCTTCAATCCAATCCAAGTTCTTTTATAATTTTTCTAAAGATGCCTTGGTGTCTCTTTAAAATGTGTTAACATTCAATGAATCTTCCAAGAGTTGTCTCCTTTCAAAAGCCAATTGAATGTATTTTCGTGTCCATTAACTATTTTCCACGTTTTCACCAAATGTCCACGTTTTCACCAACTATTTTCCACGTTTTCACCAAATGTTGCTTCAAACATCTTTTCAAAATTTTGTTCATATCCATTAAATCATCAAGTAACTACTTCTGGTGATTAAGCGCGAGGTACTTGGCGTTTAGGCGCGACATTCTGGTTTTACTAGCGCGTAAGAGTTAGTTCTGGGCGCTTAGGCGCCACAGTTCTTTTGCATACCTTCTTCATTTTTACTTCAAATTTTATCTTTTTTCACCCTTTCCATCATTTTCATCCATTTGATTGTATCTGAAAGAAAAACACACAAATATCTTCCATTAAAACGTAATATCTCAAAAATAGATATAAAAATGTGTACATAAAGATTATATATTTTAGGTGTATCAGGAGTTGACTCTTGAAGTTTTCTTTCCAATTTCTTTGTTATTTTGTATTGTAAATATGTATAGGATCAAGAAATGTTGCTATCCTTTTATTTTGAAAAGAAAAAAGTGATATGAGCAAAGAAAAAAATTACTATAATGCTCAAGTATACATAATATAGACGCAAAAACTTGACCCCATTACTAGAAAAAAGTTAGAACTGTAAAGAACCTTTGATCCACGATAATCCCCAATTTAAAACCATCTATTTATTGACTCGTGTTCCACAAAGAAAGCTAGATAATGAGTTGTGCATCTAATAAATGAAGACAAATAATTTATATTATTTTCAATTTATTTCAAACCAAACAAAAAAAAAAAAACATAAAGTCCCACGTTTATTTTAGAGTTAACCAAACAACCATAAAATGTCTCAAAGATATTATATTAAAAGTACTCTACAAATATTTTATATTGTACTTCATTTTCAGCGAGCTAAATAACCCCTAAGCTTTTTCATCAAATGCAAGGGAACATCTCAACTCTTCCCATAAATACTGATCAGAGGAAAAACTTAAAAGAGAACTAAAATAGTTATCTTGAAGACTTGCTTTCAAGCAATAAAAAAATAGTAGAGCTTCCTGTCTATCCTTTCTCTCGCTCTGAATTTTTCTGCTAGTCTTCCGAGTAAAAATTGGATGCTCCACAGTTAAATTCATATTCATAAACCATGTAGAGAGGTCGGCAATCGGAGCATAGAGAAGCAGGGGATTACCACGGCGAGGAATTTGGCACAGGGAGCAGTGCCATTGCAGGAAACCCGTCTTCGGTTTCATTTTTCTTTCTGATATCGTACATAGGCTACCCCTTGATCCCTCTCGTAGCGTCAATGTTAACGCACATAGGCTCCTCACTTCTCATTATTTCTAGGTGAAATTTCTCTCGTTCTCTCGTTCGTAGAAGGGACCGTACCCATTGTCCGCCTCTGTGGGGGTAGCATCGCTAATTTCGGCGGGGAACAGACGAAGTCTAGGGAGGAACACAACGGAGAGAATCCAAGAAATCAGCAGGCGAGAGCCAAGAGAAGACCTCCGCTTGCCAAGCTCTCTCTCTCTCTTCATATCTACGCATTGTTTGATGATTAGAAAAATCGGGCCGAGGTCTTTGAAGCTAAAAGCTGCAAGCAGCCGCCTTTTCCTCTTCTCTTCTCGGCCCCCGCTTGTATTGCCGAGGCAATTTAAAAATGCTGTGCTGGATTTGATTGTTGAATCCCTTCTTTTCGGGTTTTTAGCATCCTCTGAGTGAATGCTTGGTCTTTGACTCGATTCAAGTTCAGTATACGTCAACACCTAAATGGACTCCGATCTGCTGGTGTCCCCCCTTCAGCTTATTTCATTGTGATTTCAAGAATCTCTAACAAGGAACATTGACTAAAAATCAGTTGTATTAAGTCCTAGGCCTCGAGATCTCTTATGCGTCAATTGCGCTTGCACGGCCGGGGGGGAAGAAGATCGGTTGAGAATTGTGTTCTTTTGAGCTAAAATTCTGTAGGTTTCGCTTACTGAGGGTTTTTCACTTGAACTGTTCGTATAAAGGGCTACTCTTTCGTGCTTTCCTCTTACGTTAGGTAAATTTTCTTTGTTTCATTAATGTATTCTTGTCTCAGTACTTGAGGAAGCTTCTTTCCGGCTGGCATCCTTGATTTGGTGATCTATATCTATGATTGTTGAGCTTTATCCGTGCCTTCATTTTTTGTTCAAATATCAGAACTAGTCTTTTGCGTATTGAGGAATTAGATTTTGTTGTGCAGACGAGACGTTGCTCTTAATTGAGGCGTAGATACGTAAGGTGGAAATCTGGGCAGAATTAGTCATTAGTGTTCATGCAGAAGGCTCGTGAACTTAGGGACTTGGTTTCTCCTTCATCTTCAACTTCATCTTCTAAATCTAGGTATGCGTAAAATCCTTTTTATTATTAGTTTTTTTTTTGTTTTGACTTGGAATGTTTCAGCTTTCTCTTGTGGCATGTCTCTACCAAGCAAGTGCGAAGTCGAACAAAATTTCATCTTTTTTTTTATTTATTTTATTTTTGACAAGCATGCTTCCTTATTAGAGATTCTGATGGGGGGAATACAATGGATTGTCCTGAATCTACCATGGCCAACGTGGCCTTCCTCCTGGAACAGCTTCATGCTGGCATGTCCTCTCCAACCGAGAAAGATATGATAACCGCTCAATTGCTGTCTATTGCTCGGGCTCAAAAGGAGGCAAGGACTATGATTGGTTCACATTCTCAGGCAATGCCACTGTTGATTTCCATGCTTAGGAATGGCACACCCACAGCAAAGGCGAATGTTGCTGCAACACTTAGTGCCCTCTGCAAAGAGGAAGAGTTGCATCTAAAGGTTCTCTTGGGTGGGTGTATCCCTCCATTACTCTCTCTTTTGAAGTCCAAATCTTCCGAGGCTAGGAAGGCGGCTGCTGAAGCCATATTTGAAGTATCTTCAGGTGGGCTCTCAGATGATCATATTGGTATGAAAATATTTGTCACTGAGGGTGTTGTGCCTACCCTTTGGGATCTGCTTGACCCAAATATAAAACAAGACAAGGTTGTTCTGGGCTTTGTTACTGGGGCATTGAGGAACCTCTGTGGTTTCAAGGACGGATACTGGAAGGCAACGCTTGAGGCTGGTGGTGTGGACATTATTACTGGCCTTCTTTCATCTGACAACACAGCTGCTCAAGCAAATGCTGCTTCTCTTTTGGCACGCTTGATATTGGCTTTTGGAGACAGCATCCACAAGGTAATAGATGCTGGCGCAGTGGGTGCCCTTCTCTGTCTTCTAGGCCATAATAATGATATATCAGTTCGTGCCAGTGCAGCTGAGGCTTTGGAAGCCCTTTCTTCCAAATCAATAATAGCCAAAAAATCTCTGGTAGATGCTGGTGGCATAGCAATACTAGTTGGGGCCGTTGTAGCTCCTTCAAAGGAGTGTATGCAAGAGCAGTCTGGTCATGCGTTGCAGAGACATGCGGTCAACACTTTAGCCAATATCTGTGGCAGTATGTCTTCTCTAATTCTTTACCTTGGAGAGCTAGCCATATCGCCTCGTATGGCTGCACCTGTGGCTGATATAATTGGAGCTCTTGCTTATGCACTGATGGTTTTTGTGGTTAATGAAGAAGTTTTTGATCCAGTTGAGATTGAAGGTCTTCTCATTGGTCTTCTGAAACCCCATGATAATAAGCTTGTTCAGGATCGCATACTTGAGGCTCTAGCCAGCCTATATGGAAATCCTTTTCTTGCTAGCAGGCTTGAACATGCAGATGCTAAGAGAGTTCTCATCGGACTGATAACATTGGCTGCGGCTGACGTTCAGGAACAACTTATACTTTCTTTTTCTAGCTTATGTTGCGAGCCTGTTGGCATTTGGGAGTCCCTTAGGAAGAGAGAGGGTGTTCAGCTGTTGATATCTTTTCTAGGACTTTCTACTGAGCAACACCAGGAGTATGCAGTTGCCTTGCTTTCAATATTGACAGATCAAGTGGAAGAAAGCAAATGGGCCATCACAGCTGCTGGTGGTATCCCACCGCTTGTTCAGTTGTTATACATGGGGTTTCATAAAGCAAGAGAAGATGCAGCTCATGTCCTTTGGAACTTGTGCTGTCATAGTGATGACATCCGGGCATGCGTTGAGAGTGCTGGAGCAGTGGCAGCGCTCCTTTCGCTTCTAAAAAATGGTGGTCTGAAGGGCCAAGAAGTTTCTGCAAAAGCACTTACCAAGTTAATACGCCATGCGGACACTTATACGATCAATTATTTGTTGGCACTTCTCTTAAGCGACTCAATTAGCTCTAAGTCTCATGCTATCACAGTCCTGGGTCATGTGCTGACCATGTCATCTCATAAAGACCTCGTGCAGAAGGGTGCTCCTGCTAATAAAGGACTCAAGTGTCTTGTAGAAGTTCTTAACTCATCAAATGAAGAGACCCAAGAGTGTGCTGCATCTGTACTAGCTGATTTGTTTAGTTGCCGACAGGACATATGTGACAGCCTTGCAACAGATGAGATTGTGCATCCTTGCATGAAGCTTTTGACAAGTAAAACTCAAGTTGTTGCTACTCAGTCAGCCCGTGCTTTGGGTGCATTGTCCCGTCCCAACAAAGCCAATTCTCCAAATAAGACTAAGATGTCCTATATTGTAGAAGGTGATTTTAAACCTCTAATAAAGATGGCAAAAACATCCTCTATACATTCCGCTGAAACTGCTGTTACTGCTTTAGCCAATCTTCTTTCTGATCCGCAAATTGCAGAAGAAGCTATCACGGAAGATATTGTTTCAGCTTTGACAAGAGTTATGGCTGAAGGCTCTTTGGCTGGAAAGGTGAATGCTTCGTGTGCTTTAAATCAATTGCTAAGCCACTTCCCAGTTGGTGATGTTCTTACAGAAAATGAGTGTCAGTTTGTTCTTCTTACACTTGTTGAATCCTTAACTGGCATGGACATAGATGGGGTTAATTTTTCTGATTCATTAGATGCGTTAATATTGTTGGCTAAGACAAAGCATTGTGTGAAATTTAGATATCCTCTATGGTTTGTCTTTTCTAAGGTACCAGTCAGCTTAGAACCATTGGTCAATTGCTTAGCCAGTGGAGGTTCCTCTGTGCAGGACAAGGCAATTCTAATTCTTTCTAGGTTATGTCGAGATCAATCTGTTACACTCGGCAATCTTTTGGTGGGAAGATTGGGAAGTATCACTTCTCTTTCTAATAGAATTTTGAGGTCATCCAATATAGAAGTTAGGATCGGTGGGGCTTCCCTTCTACTTTGTGCCGGCAAAGACCACAAACAACAGACATTGAGTGCACTTGAAGCATCTGGGCTTCTAAATGATCTCATTTATGCTTTGGTAGATATGATGAAACTTAGCTCAAATTTTAAATATCCTGGAACTGAAGCGCAACCATCAAAAAATTTTGTTGAGATGAACTCAATTCATCGTAATCTAGATGATTTGAGTGCCCCTGATCCTGCTGCTACCTTGGCAGGCTCAGTTTCTTTGTGGCTAGTTTTAATAATTGTCTCTTACCACGCAAAAAGCAGAATTACTTTTTTCGAAGCAAGGGGGGTTGAGGCAATCTCAGATAAGATGGAAGGCTATGTTACCAATTCACAGGTTTGATTACAAAATGCTTTTTTTTTTTCCTTTCTTTTGAAACATTTCGTGTACTAGTTCTGTAGAAATTTATTTTATTGGCAAAATCTATTAAAGTATTGATTTATATTTTTTTTGTAGCTAACAAAGCTTTTGCAATCTGTTCTTTCATAACATGACTACATTATTTTCCTTTTCAGTTGGGTTTAAGTTTTATTTCTTACAAGTTTAATTAGCCTATTTTATTCATTTTTCTTATTTTCATGCAGACTCATTTAACCTAAAATTTCATTTTTATCCCCATTCCTTAGTCAGCCACATAGATACCTCTGTGTACTTGAGCATGATTATCTTAATGTATAATTTAATTCAGTTAGAACTTAGAAGCCCAAGAATGTTTCCCTTATGGGTCTTGTGTCACGAACCGACTCGGGGCTTAGAATTAAACAAGACGGGAATGAACGTTAGAATTAAATTCCCTGATATTCTAATTCTAACTGATAATTTAATATTGAATATTCATTAAAAGGGTCATTAAAGAATGAAATTTAATTAACAAGTAAAAGTTTTATCTTTCCGGTTTCTGTACTTGCCTCCCATACACATTAGTCCTCCTATATTCATCTTATTCAAAAGCTTAAAATCTTAAAAAAATATTAAATCAATCTATTGAGTTATCTAAAAATAACCCAGAAGTAATCATAGAAATAAATCTATGCATGCTGAACATTTATATTTTATTCTAGAAAATCATATAATAATATAATGTATTCATAACTTTAATCAGTTAAAATAATCTAAACATCTAATATGTAACTTTAATTTTACTTTTACTTCATCTTCCTAACATTCACATCTGTCTTAGAAGAATCGTCAAAATATAACCTAATACACTCATGCTTGATATTATTGTGTCAGTGTAGTGATTCTTTATCTACTTTACACGACTCTTTTAAGTGAAAATTTTTCTACTTGCCCCAAGCCAATATTCTCTCATCGGCATTGCAGTTAGCGATCTAAACATCACAATTGTTTGAGTTGGTATAATAACATCTATATGCATGGGTACACCGACGCCCCCTATATGTACCATAAGAGGGTGAACTCCTTTTAGCATGCACATACAAGCATTCATGTATATACTATTTCAATCTTCATAACATACATTCTATTTCCTATGAGACAATTTACATTTATATACTAATGAATATTTGCTCTTTTATTTAAATTTTATGTCATGAAATATATTTATTTATGCACATATACTAGAATTTACATTTCATATAGTAAGATGACTTCTTAAAAAAACTATAATGGAACTATTTATACAATAGTTTTAATATGTATATTTCATGTCTATCAATATGAAAAATTGCATATTATTTAATTACATTGACAATAGGCATATTGGTGAAAAATTGTAAGCAATGATATATTTAAAAACAAGAAATATTACTGAAACTTAAAAACACAATTACTCACCTCAATCTTGCTTGCTTGTCTCACGGACTTTTTAAATCTCCAACCTTAGGTTTAAATGTTCTTCAACCTTAATTGTTGTTATACATCAATATTTTATTAAATATTAATTCTAAATAAAGTAAATTAAACTTTAACTTTAATTAGAACATATTTTATCTTTCAAAGTGATTTATCCATTTATCTCAAACTGTATCTCACTTACTTCAAGTATGTCTTTATTTCAAATTCATCTATTATTGACACTTTAATAATTCACTTATATGTATATATATATATATATGTATGTATATATATATATGTATGTATATATATATACATACATATACATACATATATATATACATACATATATATAATATTATTTACTTTTTTAATTGTTCGGCTGCTCTAACCAGTGCACAAGCACCGCAAAGAGCCTTCTTGTTTAACGTGAGGCACAACTCCCTTCTCCCTCTGCAACTTTGGCCATGGCTGGGTAAAGGATTTCCTTTCATCCTGCACTAGTGCTTTGCCTCCTCCTCCTCTTGAACCTGAAAGCTCCTTTGCTCGTATCCGCAGGTTCCTTCGGTCAAACTCGCTAGACTAGGGTTGGTCGGGGTCGGTTATTTTTTCCGCGCTGCAACTCATCGACACAGATATTTAAACCCAAGCTTGACTGTCTGCTTGATTTGGTTTGTCATGCTATGCTGATCTCTTTGATGTGAGTATATAAGATTCATCTTCTTCCCATAGTCAGCATCGCACGAGTCGGGACAACGCTAGTCTTCAACCACCCCGTGTTCTCTTTCTCCTCACTCTCTGCTCTCTTTCAATCTCCTTATTTCTCATCCTCTTGTTTGAATGAGGCGTTTGACTCCTAAATACGAAACTGTCGTGAGGTTATCCCTCTAAAATTTATTTTATTTTATTATTATTATTTTATATTATTTTTAGTTATTACATGACCTTCAGGATCTGTACCAAATCCATATCAAACCCAATAGAACGTTTAGCTTATGGTTTATGCATTTTCACAAAGGAAGCTAAGGACTCCCTTAAAGTTATCACAACTATGTTTTACATTTAAGAAATTTTAACTAAGTGCACTTTAAATCATATAATAGAATTCATGTCTTGTCATATCATTCATAACATCATATAAGAACTTAAATGTATTAATAAGCTAACCCTAAATGTTCAATGTGGTTTTAATGATAGGTACTATATATGTTCAAAATAAACTAATGAGAGTATTGTTTGATTCAGGAGCATCACATTCTTTATACTTAAAGAATTGGTTTAAGTTAGGCAATTAAATAGTACCTTAATGTTTGTTATATTATTTGTTAAAATGTCAAACGGTACTTCTGTGGAAGTTTATCAATCATCTCAGGTAAATCTATGATTTGTGGAAAAGATTTTGATGTATAATTGATTGTATTACCCTTGGTGGAGTTTAAAGCAACTTTAGCCATGTATTGATTATCTAAAAAATGTTGCAATTTATTGTAATAAAAAGACTGAAAAAGTAAGTGTACCTGAGGAGGCAAAATTCAAATTTTGTAGCGATAAAGGTGTTAGCTTCGATGATAATCACATACTTGAAGGTCTTTAACATATTAAACAGTGGAAGTCAGGGTTTATTGGCTCTTATAAATGATTGTACTAAGCAAATAAAATATTTGGGTGATATTCCAGTGGTAAAGAAATATCCAGAAGGTTTCTTGATAATTTACCAGGAGCACCTCCAATGAGAGAGATTGATTTCACTAATGAGTTATTACCAAGTTTTAAGCCAGTATCCATTACATTCTACAAAATGACAATTACAGGAACTTTAAGATAAGGGATTCATCAGGCCTAGCACCTCACATTGGGGAGTTCCATTGTTATTTATAAAGGACGGAAGCTTCGGGGTGTACATTAACTACAGAGAGTTGAATAAGCTCACAGTTAAAAATAAATATCGACTACTGAGGATCAATGACTTGTTTGATTAATTAGAATGAGCTTATATATTTTCAAAAATTGATCTATGATTAGACTATTACCAGTTGAGGATTAAAGAGGAAAATATGGTGAAGGAAGCTTCCAGGATCAGATATGAATACTACGAATTTATGGTGATGACATTTGAACTAACTAATGATCTAGCTGTTTTTATAAATCTTACCCTAAATCTATAAAGTGTACTTTTCTTATGCATGCCTTTAACAAGGAGTATAAGTGTTACTCTCCTATTACCAGAAAATACAACTCCATGGATGTCACATTTTTTTTGAAAATCAATCATACTATACCAAATCTAATATTTAGATGGAGAGTGCAAAATAAACGTTAATTTTGGGATGCACTTGATGACACCCACACGGTCTCACTACCTCATCCACCTAGCCCTCTTATTCTGGTTGAGGATGTCCAACCAATCCAGCCAACTCAACTTGAAGTCCATAAGAAAGATTTCATGTGTACACAAAGAAGAAAAACCTTGAACAGGTGGAAGGTAACTTGCGAGGACAAAACTGCATAAACCAAAACCCGAGTCTGCATTCATCTGAATATTTGGGTCAGGAGTCTAGTACTCAGGATTTACGCCCTTCCTCTTCTGATGTTAGTGATAAGGAAAGCTACATTAGATATCCAATTCAAGAGTATGTAGGATATGAGAAGCTATCCACATCCTATAAAGCTTTTGTTTCTAACCTTGATAGTGTGCATATTTCTAAATCCATTCATGAAGCTCTTGAAAATCCAGAGTGGAGGAAAACAGTTGAAGAGGTGATTTAAGCATTGAAGCATAATGACACATGCATCCTTACGAAACTCCTTCGGGATGTTCAACCTCAAATACAAAGCTGATGGAGGTATTGAGAGATTCAAAGCCAGACTTGTCCTAAAAGATTTCACTCAAGCATATAGGATTGATTATCAGGAAAGCTTCACACCAGCTGCCAAACTAAACACTATCAGGGTTCTCTTTTCAGTAGTAGTAAACAAGGAATGGGGACTTCATCAACTTGAAATAAAAAAATGTCTTCCTGAATGAGGATCTGGAAAAAGTGTATATGGAGATACCACCAGGACTTAAGAATGATTCTAGTAAACACCTCGTATGCAAACTCAAGAATCCTCTCTATGGGCTTAAGCAATGACGAAGAGCATAGTTATGAAATTTAATGAATATTTTCAAGGTCAGGCTGATCATACTCTGTTTATAAAACATACTCAGGGAGGTTACCTTGCTGCACTGATAGTGTATTTGAATAATATGATTCATAATGATGTTGATGAAAAAGAGATTTTCAAGATCAAATAAGTGTTTATCACTGAGTTTGAAATTAAAGACCAGAGAACAATGAGATATTTTATAAGTATGGAAATGGCAAGGTCCAAAAACGACATCGTTATATCACAGAGAAAATACATCATAGCTTTACTAAAGGAGACATGAATGATTGGATGCAAGTTTGTTGATACTCCAATAGATCTCATAAAAAATTCTAATAAGGGAAGATATCAAAGATTCGTTAGAAAGTGCATGCACCTGTCACATGTGAGGC